ATATACACATACATAGTCAGTTTGCAAGGGCTGGTAGTAATGATTTAAAAAGGTATTGGCAGTTTAATTTAATTAGATATTTTCTGTAACATGAAAAAATTATTTCATTCTTACTCTGATGATAGATGGAGAGAAATGGTTTACTTTGAAGAGCTCAGCAGAGTACAGAAGTTAATCCTTTGTGTTATTTTTATATTTGCTAATATCTTTTGGATGCTTTCAAGATGACCTTGTGCGAACTGAGAAATGCTTGGCATTTAAGCTCCAGCAATGTTACCTTTTCCCAAAAAACACTTGTTTACTTGGAGTTTCCTGTTCTAGGGGCACCAAGAATAACATGTATGTAGTATAAAGGAGAGGAGAGAAAGACAGTCATAAGAACATTAGTAATTAAAGTTCCAAGGGGGAAGAGTTTGCAAACTCTAGATCCATGGCTGACTGCAGCCGGAGTAGGTTACTGTAAGTATCAGATGTCAGTATTGCTCCAGGGGTGCTTCCCCCCCAGAACGCAGACCTGGAGGGCAGGCCAGGAGATTGTAATGAATAAACATGCCAGGTTGAGCTGTGTCTGTATGTTTCACATCACAGTGGCCATATTCTCATTTTTCAGGGGCTTCCTTTCGATTTCTGGGTCTTTTGTCTGTCTTTGTGAAAATTCTGCTTTTTGATATATTGAAACGCTCCCCCCAATCTCATTTCAGGCGACGCGGGCAGCCATCACCCAGCACTGCGCGGACCTCGGGGGCCTGCTGGGCAGGGAGAACGACGTGGCCCTCATTATCGACGGCCACACGCTGAAGTACGCGCTGTCCTTCGAGGTCAGGAGGAGCTTCCTGGACCTGGCCCTGTCGTGCAAGGCTGTCATCTGCTGCAGGTGGGCGCGGGAGTGCTGCCCGGGATCCGCGCTCTGGCGCGTCTGCAGCCCATGCTGCCGTCGAAGAACCAGTGCCTGGGAATTCTAGGGGTTACGTTTTGGGGTGGAAAAGTGCAAAACAAAAAATAGAAACTCAACTGTCCACTCCCAGATTTTCTGGAAGGCGGTTAGTGGGTTTTACATTTCCGTTTTACTTACTGTCTTGTGAGAAGACAGAAGTGATCAGAGCCAGGGTGGGATAAAGAGGGAGAATGTGGCCTCAGGCTGGCGGGGGCGTTAGAAGGGCCCCGGGGACTTGGTCGCTCGGTTCTGGAGGGGTGCTCTCGACCTCCAGGCCTTGTGGGACCTTGGTGCTGCTTTTCTGTTGGACGGTGGGTATTTGGTTGGGGCCATGCTCTGCCAAGTTTTGTTTTAGGATCTAACCAGACACCTTTGTTGACTTTTCTTGAAGTCTAGGAAAGTGTTTTAGGGTGCGATTGTTACATCCATAGATGACTGGCCATGCAAGGTCCAGTTTTCACAGAGATCTGAAAGTCAGGCAAATTATGGGTGTCCCTCAGAGACACTACAGGTCTGCGGGCTTGGTTCCAGTGAATGGCTATGAAGCCATGATGTGAATCCCGTGAACATCTTGTTTTCCCAGTGCAGACAGAAGTCGTGTTCACACTATACTGTAGGCTGTTAAGTGTGCGGTAGCATTATGTCGGAAAAAACCAATGTCCGTACCTTAAGCCAAAAATACTGTATTGCTAAAAAATGCTAACCATCGTCTGAGCCTTCAGCGAGTCATGATCTTTTAGCCAGTCGAGGGTTTGGAATATTTCAAGAATTACTAAAATGTGATGCAGAGTCGAGAAGATACAAAGTGAGCAAATGCTGTTGGAAAAATGGTGCCAACAGACTTGCCTGACGCAGGGTTGCCCCAAGCCTTCAGTTTGTAAAAAAAATACGTTATCTAGGAAGCACAATACAGCAAAGCATGACAAAATGAGGTGTGATCATATACAGAAAATAAACTCTGTAAAGATGGGTGGCACCACCCCAGCTTTGCAGTAAACAGCTTCAAAGGTGAGAGGGACCGTCCCACTTCTGAAAAGCTCTGTGCTCAGGCAGTCAGTCCTGTGTGTGCGTAAATGCTGAGTGCCTGTTACTGGATTAATAGCTTCATTTGCGCCTGCTCTTATATTTTATGGTTATACACTGTTTTGCATTTTTTGGATTTCTTAAAAAAATGATCTCAGTTGAAGTATAGGTCATACACTTTTACATGCATTGTGTTTGTTGGTGTTTTCTCAGAAGCCAGTTGTTAGAGGGCTTTTTAACTCCTTGCTGCGCTAGTCCTTTAAGAACACCCGCTGTGGGTTCAAGCATGGTCCAGTTGGAATAACTAGTGTCACATTGACAAGTGGCCTTATTAGAAGGCCCTAGTGACATCACCCGCCACACCTGTCTGCCCCAGCCTCCCGGCACTGCCTGTTGGAATACCCAGCAGATCTGAGGGCAAGCTCACCTGCCGGCCATTCTCTCTCCCACGTCTTCCCAGCCTTGCCGCCTCCTCCCTGGCTGTTTCCTGTACAACACCAAAGAATCTGTTGTCATTTCCTTACGAATATACCTCCTCCAGAACCCTGAGTGTCTGTCCTCATGTAATGATTTTCCCTGTCATTCTATTCTACTGTCCTGATCCCCTCTGTTTACTTTCAAACCTGCTACCAACAGCCAAGGAGGCTGGAGTGACTATTGGAGCATCTGGGATGGAAAAGCGTGCTGCTTTTGTGCTTGTGGTTGCAGGATGTCCAAGGACCAGGGGGGCGAGGAACACATTCAAATGTGTTTGGGTGTTTTGCCTTTAAGTTAGGAAGCTGGGTGCCGCTGTGAGGGATGTGGGACTGGGAGGAATGACCAGAGCATCTGGAAATGAAAAACTATGCTTCCTGATTTTACAGGGGTCTCTTTCCCTTTAAAAAAAAAATCTTCATTGAGATAAAATTCCCATGCCATGCAGTTCATTTAAAGTGTGTAACAGTTTATTGGCTTTTAGAATAGTCACAGAGTTTTAGAACTGTTATAGTCAATTTTAGAATATTTTGACCACCCCCCAAAGAAACCCCTTTATCAATATCAGCCCCCACCCCCCTCACCCTCCCAGCCCCCCTCACTACTAAACAACCACTGATCTGCTTTCTCGTCTCTGTAGATTTGCCTATTTGGGATATTTTATAGGAATGCAGTCATTAAGAATATAGTCTTTTTTCTGACTGGCTTTTTTCACTGAGCATCATGTTTTCCAGGTTCACTCCTGTTGTAGCATGTGTTTGAACTTCATTCCTTTTCATAACTGAGTATTATTCCGTTGGAGAGATAGACCACATCTATTCATTTTGATGAACATTTGGATTACTGATACTTTTTGACTGTTATGGGTAATGCTGCTCTGAAGATTCAGGTGCAAGTTTTTGTGTGGATTTGTGCATTTGTTTCTCTCGGGTACTCACCCAGGAGCGGAAGTTCTGGGTCAGGAGGTAACTGTGTTGAACCTTCAGAGGACCCGGCAGACTGGTTTCGAGTGTATTCACCCTTGTATGTTCCCACCAGGGGCGGGTCGCTGTGTCAGTGCTCCAGTTTCTCCACGTCCCTGCCAACAGTTGTTGTTATGTTTCCTGTGATTGGTTAGCCTAGTGGGTGTGAGTTGGTGTCTCACTGTGGTTCTGATTTGCATTTCCCTGATGATGAATCTTTTCATGTGCTTGTTGGCCATTTGTGCATCTTCTTTGGAGAACTGTTCAAGTCCTTTGCACATTTTTAATTGGATTATTTGTCTTTTTATGACTGAGTTGTAAGAGTTCCTTATATGCTCTGGATACAAAGTACTTTTAATTGAAGTACAATCAGTTACAGTGTGTCAGTTTCTGGTGTACAGCAGTGTCCCAACATGCATACAAAGCATTTTTATTAGATATAAGATTTACAGATTTTTTTTTCTCATTCTGTAGGCTGTCTTTTCATTTTCTTGATAGTGTTGTTTGCAGACAAAAGATGTTGGCTTTGATGACATCCAGCTTCTGTGTTTCTTCTTTTGTCCCTGGTGTTTTGGTGTCATATCTGACAAGCCCACTTTTCTAAGCAGCTGATAACTGTGCCTTCTTTCCTGGATACCACAGGGGCACTTCAGCTGGGGGCCAAGCAGGTGGCAAGGAGGGTAGAGAGGGTGGGGAGGTGCTTTCTTACAGTCTCCCCCTATGTGTCAGCACTATCACGTGGCTGAGTGGGCGGCACCTCCTTTCTACCAGGTGGTCCCAGTCCCGCCCAGAGCCCAGAGTCACGCTGAGAAAGTCATCATCCCGAGCAACGGCCACGCTGGTCCATCCTCTGCCTTGGTGGTGAGCGAAAACCAGCCCCACCAGAAATAATAAGAAACAACACCGAAGATCTGGTAAAACGCGAATCAGAGCACACCCGCTCTAACTTCATGGCTTTTCAAATGGAAATCAGATCGAGTCTGCTTGGATTCTCCGGGAGGAGCCAGGAAGGCCTTCAGGCTGGACAGGAGCACGCCCTCTGCCAGGCCAGGTGCTGGAGACGGAAGGAAAACATCTTTTTTCCCTCCTGCTTTGGCCGCTCTCAGAGGGCTTTGTGTCCCATCACCCTGTCTCCTTAACCGCTTCACAGGAAGGAGTTCAAACTGGAATTGGCACAGAAAGAGGAAATTTCAAATTAAAGACGGTTACTGTCTACAAAATAGAAGCCTTAATTGAGAAGAGGAAGCTAGGACAGGGCACCGTTTTACTGCTCTGGGAGACGTTTCTTGGCTGGTCTCGCACTTAAGATTAAAAAAAAACATACTTTAAAATAAAAAACACTAACACCTTTTGGATATGCTTCCTGTTCATTGAGAATTTAAACTCAAGTTCAGTTTACTGTGTGACTTCAAACATAAGGCCGACCTTGATGTTCACCTTTCATCTCTAAGATGTCATAGTTGTGAAAGTTACCCTTTTCTCTAATAATAGAAGAAAATAATTTTTTTTCTGAAAATGATTCCTTGTTTCCCATCTGTGTTGATTCAGAAACTTACGAATGTTGTGCAAAAGTGGATAAATCCTTTTAAACTAAAGCAGCAGAAAGAGGAAACGTGTAAGCATTTGTTGAATATCTTGCTGAGATTGGAATCAAGCTGTTTTGCTAATTACACGTTGTTACACCCACATATTTTCCATGTGGTTAAAAATCCTAGAAAGGGGGAGGGTTTAGCTCAGTGGTAGAACGCATGCCTAGCCTGTACGAGGTCCTGGGTTCCATCCTTAACACCCCTATTTAATAAACAAACAAGTAAACAAACCTCCCACCCATTTTTTTTTAATTTGAAAATTTAAAAAAAGTCCTAGAAAAGTCATGAAATGGTCCACAGAACAGTTAGCAGTCAGTCCAGACTGCAGGTTACTGTTGTGTCTGGCAGGGACGTTGGCTTGTTGCCTGTTGAGGAGCAAACTGGCTAGTCCAGTAAGCGCTATACTGTTGGCTTGATACTCGCGCACTACGTTCCTGGGCGTCGTAGAACAGAGGTTAAGTGCGAATCACGAGTGAGTGAGTGTAGTGCTGCGCCCCAACCCTGTCTCCTCCTTTGCCTCTAGTGTGCATCCCTCCTTCTTGGAACCAGGCCCCAGGGAAGCTGGCCGTCCCCTCGTCTTGCCATGTGCACAGCCTCTCAATCAAGTAAGTCAGAAAGAGAAAGAAAAATACCATGTGATACCACACATATGTGGAATCTAAAAAAAGAAAGAAGAGGACACTAATGAACTCATCTGCAAAACAAACAGACTCACAGACACAGTAGACAATCTTATGGGACTGGGGGAAAGGAGGTGGGAAGTGATAAATACAGGAGTTTGAGATTTGCAAATGTTAACTACTACATATAGAATAGATAAACGACAGATTTCTTCTGTACAGCACAGGGAACTGTATTCAATATCTTGTCTAACCTTTGATGAAAAGGAATA